TCTCATCTCCTCTCCATGGTAGGTAAAAAACCCTTCTGATTTAGCCCTGCTCATCTTCCCTCCTCATGGGAAAGGAGGAATTGCTTTGTGAAATGGCAATACAATTGCATTCCCCCCAGCGTTTGACCTCCAGAGAGGGTCAGTAAAAGATTCCTGAGAGAGGAAGAAAGAAGGTTTCACGAACAACGTAGGAGTGACCCTCCCACATGGGAGGCCTTCCTCACGTCCTTATGGGTTTGCCTATGAACAAGACGTGTTCCCATAATCATTTGGATGTGAGAAGAGTGAGCATATTCTCTTCGGCCATATGGTGAAGCTTTTAACTACCATTTCTCTTTGTGCTTAAAAAGAAGTCATCTCCATAAGTGAGTGTTGGAGTTTGTGAACTGCATTTTCAGAGTTTTTGTTAGAAATCTGAGAAGGGTTTAAACTGGAGTTAAGGAAAATAACAATTTCTTCTCTTGCCATTCAGTATGACTGGCAGCCGATCATGAGTGATGGTAGCTGATGCAGTGCTAAAAGCTGTGATACCCCCCAGTTTGTTTTTAACAAGGAAAAAAAAAGACTACTTTGAGGAATTTGAGTCACTTGGGCTTATAGATGTACACTTGCAATGTTTTCAATATGTAGGTGATTTAGGAAATGCAGGTTGCCTAGTACTGTCTAAGACTTCTCAAACTGAGACGAGAATGGAAATGAAAAGGGATCAAGTTGTCTCCATAATGTTGCTGATGGGCAGAGAAAAATCACTAGAAGAATGAGAGAGAGACAGAGAGTGACTTTGTTCAACCCTGCAGTAATTTAAGGTATGTATCCCACAGAATACTGACTTAGTGTTTGGTGTCTAGGTAGTATTTCTGATATTTACTGCTTGCTTTGACTTGCCATCTATCTTGATAGATAACGTGGATAACTTTCTGTGGAGTTTACAGGTAGGGTGTTAGATCTGCTAAGGATGTTTAGATTGCTGGTCCTGTCTGGATGCTTAGCCCCAGAGCTTTTCCTGGTTGGTGATGCCTGCTGCACAGAGTGGCACAGTGACCACAGAGGTGCTGAGTGTCCCACCTCTGGACCAGCAAGGTAAGATACTGCTGGGAAATAGGGCTTTGAGTTACCACTCTCTGAAGAGATGGTTGAACTTTGAATTTGGTTGTTCACCTGGAATGCGAGTAGCTAAGGTGGGAGTTGAAGGCAAGAGGTGCTGCTATAGAGCTTCCCCAGGGCTTTCAGAACACGGACATCAGTATTTCCAGGTGGGTGTTCTGCATTGTGAGTGCTGAGCAGTGATAAGCCACCAGCCCATCTCCTGAAGGCAAAGATGCTTATTTCCTAGGGAGAGGGTGATCAAATAACCCCCTTCTGGCCTTGTATCCAGTGACTAGTTCAGACAGCTCCCAGCCTTGGCTGGCTGCCTGCCTACAGGTCCAACCCTTTGGTGGGCTTCTCTTTCCGATGCCTCAGCCAGATGGCAGGTTCTACCACACTGATTGAGGATCTAAAACTAAATGGCCCAGCATCAAGTGTCTGAATATCTAGATCCTCTTTTGATTCAGCCCTGTGTCGAGAAGGTGTGCGGAGAGTTCATTTATTTTTTTCAGCTACCAAAAGAAGTCTGGTTCCAAATAAGATGTGATCTTGCAGACTTGGGAGAGCGGGTATGATTTAGATGCCTTTCAGCCATTAAACTCTGCTTCAATAACGGATTCCTCTGATAGGTAATTTGGTGGTCCTTCCTCTGCTGCCTCACTCTTTGGCTTTTTTTTTTTTTTTCAGCAGAGCATGTAAAAGGATGACATTGAAACACCTGGGGTTTTACCAGCCTTGCTAGGTCTGCCGTAGTCTAGTAATAACCTCAGCTGCATTTCAGAAACTAAAATGGCGTGGGCCATGTTTGGTGTTTAGTTTTTAACCACATATAAGACGACATGTACTGCATATGCCTTTGGGACAATTTTATTGCAAAAGATATAGCAACTTGTGTTGATAAGCTCAAAACAGCTTGTATACGTTTCAGGAGGTGTTCTGCTGCTTTCTTCAAACAAATACACTCTTAAACATTTACGAAGATTTATACGTAAGTTATCTTGTTTTTTAATAAAACAGTATTTAGAGACTTTAGTAGATGGCAAGTATTTTGATTGCTGTGAAAGGTAAAGGTTAAGAGGAGTGTGTTCTGTGCTGATCCTCTTGCTTTTGTTAATGGAGGGGTGTATTCTTACAAGTTCAAGGCTTATGCTTAAGTTTTCAGTGTTTATGAATAGGACATCTAAGTTTAGATGGGAGTCGGATTAAACATTAAACTTACTTTTACGCTTTGAGATCCAAAAGTGTCAAGGTCATTCTGAGAAGCTATTAAAAATGCACATTGGCAACCGAGCTCCATAGTTGTTCTGTAAACTTAAGATAAACTGCTTAAACAACAAAAAACCCTGAAGTGCCCTTTATAAATGCTTGACACAGAAGATAGCTGGGCAACTTCACTGTGAAAGAGCATTTGAAAGCTCACTGTCATTGCTTGAAGTTTAAGCTTTCAAAAGAAATTTAAATGCATATCCTAAAGAACACGAGCGGCTCTAACTGTTCCTGATGTCTCTGCTCTCTGTGCTGTGCTTTCAGCAGAGCACAAGTGAAACACTGAGAAGTCTCTGCAGAGTACCAGTCTTCTGTGCTGCAAGAGTACAGCCAGTGTGGAAAAGAATATGCAGTGGTAAGCTGTTGCATTAAAAATTAAACCACATTATTAAGAGTAGCTAAATTTTAGACTTAGGCCTTTTTCTCAGCTAGCCCCAAATTAGACCCCAAGCAAATAGGCTTTCAGACAATAAATCTAGTGTCTGAACTGAAGTCCTCAGTAAGTTCAGGTTACGTGTTTGAGTTCTGTCCAGCCCATGTAGTGTCCCTTGTTGATGGAGAAAGATGCTTTCAACAGAACAGTAGCAAGGGAGGTGGGTCAGGAGATGGGGGGTACCAGGGGGTGCTCTGCTTCTACGGAACTCTCTATACTTAATGTTTACTTTTTTCCAAGCCAAGAGGCTATGGCTGTGGAAGCACAACAGCACATATTAGTGCTAAAATCTCTACATACAAAGATATTTCATGTCTTTGTTTTGGTTTTTTTTTTGGAAGCTGGCTGTGCCCTGCATCTTCTGTCTGGGTAGCATTATTGTACTGATGATGTTCAGTTAAAGCTGGAACTGGATGTTTCTTCTAAGAGGAAGATCTGAACCTTCCCTATGTAAAGCCGCTGTTTCATCCAGGATTGGTTTTGATGACCTCTTGAGAGGCCCCCAGCCTGGCTTGTGTTACTACACCAGGGAGACTACGCAGAATCTGGCGTTCTCACTAGTTTGCATTGTGCTTACTTAATTGGTAATCTTTGAGCTACTTCAGTCATATTTCCAAACATAACGATTTAAGATTGTGCTCCTTTTGTTGACAGAAAGAATTCTTCCTTATGGCAATTTACTTCAATTAACATTTTTGTATGAATAATAAGCATTCTGAGTCATAGTTATTAAAACTATAAATGCTATTAAATAAAGCCTAGTTTGCGAGTAAGATGTGAGATTTGAGTTTTAATTTCTTCCCGCTTCCTGTTAGTTCCACAAGCCTGACGCAATGTGGCTTTGATTGCCATAAGGTGCGTGAACACACACGTTTTTATTGGCTCTGAAACTCCGTCCCTTTCCTCCGATAGCTTTGCTTAATGAATGTGTTTTCTTAAATCGTGCTGGATGGAAACCTAACCAGCAACTGCTGCTTCCTAATTAAAGTGCCATTCTTTCGACCTTCTTAATATGTCACTCCTCATCTACTGACTAGTTATACGACTAGTTCTTTGCTTAAGAAAACAACCATGTGTTTTGAATAATCCAGGGCTGTAGTAGGTTCATTTTGAAATCAGTCCATGAAACAGAAGTCAATCCCAAATTTGGGAGAGAGTGCCTGTAAATGCTTGAAATGCTGCTTTTCCCAGTGTACAATACAGAACATCAGATTGATTCCCTCTTAAATCCTGTAAATGGTACTTGAATAGCTTTCCTCGCACTAGAGACTGCTGTAAGCTGTTCTGAGCTGTGGTTTAACGATAGAGCAATGATGAATCTCAAATGCTTTTCCAATTGCGAGCAACTTAAACTCACAATTTTCCTCCAAGAGTGTCCTCTGTCCCCGCAGCTCTCCTGCAGCCCTTGAGATGCACAAGAGCAGAGCAGGAGAGCTTGGGGGACAAGACACTTCTCAAAATCAAATATTAATGGAGTGCTGTAGGAGACTAGATTCCAGTTCCTGCACGTTGGCTGCTTTGTGGATTTGGGGCTTTATTGAGGTTGACAAACGGTTGTAGGGTCCCATAGCTTGACTCTTTCCTCTTGCTTGCTTTCCAGTCCCTGGGTTTAGATAAATCTCAATGCTTAAATTTACACTAGCTGAAGCTTAACTTGCTGGCAAGACAGCTGTATGGAGAGAGCGCCTGCTTTTGAGAAGGTACGCAAATTTGAGTTCTGTTTCTCCCAAAAAAGTGTCTGATATTTCAGCCCTGACCTGGATGTCATCTGGTGGGCAGTGACACACAGAGGTGCTTCTGCCACAGCAGCTGAGCAGCGCAGCTGTTCCCTGAAGGGACCTGGCCACTTCAGGAAGCAGGTGGTACATTTTAAGGAGCTTGTGTGTGCCCAAAGGTGGGAATCAGACACGCTGGGGCTCTATACTGGAAGCAGGTTTTCAAACACCTCCAGTTATTTCCTCCATGTTTACTGCCTCTTTTCACTATCCATCCACATCAGAGTTTCTGAAGCCTGCAAGGGAAGAAAAGAATAGTAATCAACTGTCTACACAGAGCGTTATCATGCATAGGGACAGAGCTGCAATCAGCCTCACTGACTGAAAAGCGCCAGAGAAAAACACCTCCAGTATTTCTTGAACTGAGGGCTGGCGTTACTCCTGTGGCACTTGGCGTGCCTTCAGCACAGTGCCCAAGGGTCCTGCCTTGCTCGCATCCATCAGTTCCGTGGCTGGGAATTAAATTCTGTGCAAATGTTTTGGATGAGCTGATTAACAAAGCGGTAGAGGTTGTCAAATTCATCCACGAAGAAGGAATGCTCGTTATCAGGGTCCGTTGCGATGGCTTCCAGTTCATCTTGGGCTGCCCAGGCAACTCCAACTGAGTAAGCTATAACTCCTGGAAAGAAACCCAGAGTTTAAAATGAACATAAAAGTTGTCATTGCATTAAATTTGCTTTAAGACCAATACTGCAAACATAGTTGCCAGGCCACAAAAACGTGGGCAGTGAGTTGCAGTGTGCTCTCTGTATGAAAAAGGCATTTTTAAATTGGAGGAAAGGCCTCGTTTCTGCTTTGGAAGTACCTTTTGCCAACAGCAACAAAGTTGAAACAATAGTAAAGCTTCTGCGCTGAGTCTGAACAACAAACTCCTGAACAACAAGTTCTTGCTCCAATGCAAATGTCTTAAAATTGTGTTGGAAGATGTATCACTATCCTGACTGGAAAACCAAAGGAGGCTTTCAGGTGTTACTAATGCAGCAGAAATCCCCTGATATTTCCTAGGCATAGCTGCATTTTGCTAGATTTATGTGATTATTTTTTTTGTCTTTTTTTTTTTTTCAAGTTCCTAATTCAGATTTTAAACAGATGCTGGTCTTGTTAGAGTTTAATGAGACCCCAGGGTGAGGTGCTACTCTTCCTTCATAAAGTCTCATCCAGCACCTTCAAATTGTAGCAAACTGTGTTTCTCTGGCCTGGATAAATGCTGAGGCATGTAGGGAGAGCAGGTAGCGACAAGAGAGCTTACCGTTTTGGTGAGCTGCCATGGCCGGCACCCTGACGTCGTCGTAAGACCTGCCATCTGTAATGAGGATCATGATCTTTCTTTTGTTGGGTTTGGATTTGCTGAACAGCTGCTCTGAGGCATAGCTGATGGCTGCTCCCGTGCTGGTCCCACCGCTCCAGTAACTGATCCTTTTGATAGCGCTCAGCACATCCTGCTTCGTGCTGTACTTGTCGAAGCTGAACTCGAGCCTTTGCTCATAGCCGCTCCGATGCGGGTGTCGGTGTCCGAAATCTCGAACTCCTTGCTGATGTTGGCTACAAACTGGAGGACTGTGCGGAAGTTGCTGGTGCCGACGCTGCTGGAGCCATCGATGACGAAACCGATGTCGGCTGAATTGAGGCACGTCTTGCTGCAAACCAGTCGGTCAGTGTCACAGACCCGCTTCACCAAGGGCTGGACCACCTTGTGTAGGCTGAACCAGCTGGGCACGTTGATGGAATAGAAACCGTTTGTCCTGCACACAGCCTGCAAGGCAACACAGGGACGAATGCAATGGAAATTCAGTCTGCCTGTTTCAGCTGGAATATGTAGCTAAATTGCAAATACAGGCTCCCGGAAAGAGCAGTGCTGGAGTCTAAAGCGGCCTCTCCTCCAGTCACCATCTGCTTCCCTGGGAAATGATGTCGATGTAACATCACAGATACTTGTGTAACGAGACAGTTTTTCCTGCCTTTTTTTTTTTTTTTTAAAGCTGTGGGATGGAGCTGATATTATAGTAGCGAAAGAAATGTAATAAGCAAGTTTGCCACCTGTCAAGTTCTTTTAGATGAGTTACATTGTCTGCAGAAAAAGCACCTGAGCCACAGAGCTGCTGTTAGCATGGCTCCAGTGGGCATTATGGGAGTCTGTGTTTGCCAGGTGGCAACTTCAGCTCCCATCGTTCAGGGCTACAAGGAAAGTTTTGCCTGCTGACAAACCCTACTCCTTGAACGGAAACCTGGTGCTGAAGTTGCGTTATCCTTGGCTCGTATCCTTCTAAGCAGAAAAAAAACTAGGCAATTTTGATGAAAATGCAAAAAGTAAGGATTTCTAGTTGTGCTGGTTCTGCCAAATAGTATAAAAATCCTTAATTTTAACAACTGAATACCTGTGAGAAGCAAATCTGCAGGAGGCTTCTATAGGGTTAGTGGGAGTCAGGTGAATGTGGATGGGAAGTGGGGCTGGCACAGAAGAGGGAGCAGGAGAAGTCAAGCGTAGGGCATGAGGTAGTGGTGGGGACAGACTGGATCAGTTTGTCCTTGGCTTTAACACCTTTTAAAGCTTTTTAACACTAGTGCCTCAGGTCTCTAGGTAAGAATATTTTGTGAAGCCAGGCTTTATCTATCAACTTTGCATGTGTGTGTCTGAGTGTTTTAAAAGACCAAGGCGCTGTTTTCTTGGTGCCTGGTCTTGACTTGCGTAAAGCCTAACACCTCCAAGCAAGTTACAGTTCTCACCAGTTTGGGCTCCTCACCATGTCCTGCTCTCGTTTGCTCTTACTGTCTTGCTCTTATTTTAGTGTTACGATGCAGCAGTATCAAGTCACTGTTCACTCTTTACCCTCTGATTCTGAGCCCACTCTATTGCCACTTCTGCCATGTCCCTGGCAGGTTTGCAGAGACTCACTGCCAACACTGCTAGGGACTCACTGCCCTTTTAAAAACACTAAACTCAAATGAGACTGCAATCAAGTTAAGTGCTGATGGACACGTCGCAGCTCTCTGGGGCAGACACGGCTCACGTGAGAATCTGTTTTCGGAAAATACTGGATAACTTGACCTTGTGTTCTGAGCCCAGCCTGGTCTGCCCCTTGGTAGATAACTCCTGCCGTAACTGGGTGCCAGCTTGCCCTGAAGCCCTGTTGAGCAGGCAGCTACTGTTAGTGCAAATCGTACAAATCATTTAAGGCTTGTGTTCTCTTTTTTTTGCTGCACACAGCAGGGATTTACTCTTTTTTTCTAAGAGGTACCATGAAGTCCGTAGCAGCGGAAACAAATAACAGAAAACTAACCCCCATCAGATCAACAGTGGAAACAAAATGTTCTGAGTTATCCTGTATAGCTGAACAACTGGGATGTGCCTGTGTTGAGAGTGTCCCAAAATCTGTATGTATGGGACCTGTTTGTAAATGCGACACTGACGTTACATTGACAGGTCTCCTCCCTAGGTGGGAGATGCACAGCAGGAGGCTTGTGGAAAGCTCAGGATACAATTGTGCTTTGTCACACTACTGTATATTTGGAGAATCTCTCATCTCAGTACGACTGCAAGTTTGTGCCAACGTTTAGTCAGTAAAAAGCCGTTTGCTCTGTGATGCACTTCAAACCAGGACTTAACTGACTTCATCCCTGTTCTGACTTCAGCAGTGCTGCCTGGCTTTTCATACAGGAAACCTCAAGACAGTATAAGCAGGACAAGAAATAAGCATAAGCGGTAAGAAGGAAAGAGAAGTGCCCTGAATGAAACAGCTTGGAAAATGTCCTCAGAGCCAAGCTCCTGGCCAGAGCCCAGCCCAGTAAGTACCTTGTCCACAAAGTTTGGTTCGATAATGTTCTGCTTCTCACTTTCAGCAGCTGCTTCAATAGTGACAAAGAAAATGTTGATCCCTGATTCTCTGGCCAGCCTGGAGGCCTCCTCCACTTGGTCCGTTGGCCACCCATCCACCATCACTACAACCACATTGGGTGCTCCACCTCGATTTCCATTAGCATCCGAAAAGAAGTTTTTGTTAACAAATGAAAGTGCCTTCCCTGGAATGAAAGAGGAGATGAGGATGAGTTACAGGTCTGGAAGCGCTCTGCCTGATAATATCTCACAAAATGGTAAGCAGAGGGCTGATTCAAGTGTTGGAGCCCTGCTGAGAGGTGGGGAAAGCAGTTTCTGTGGCTTGTTTGAGCAAGAAGGGAGGTTGCTGCTGGTGCCTCCTGAGCCCTCCTGGGCTGAACCCTATCTGCCCTCTCCCTGTGCCCCAGAGGGGCAGGGGGTGACAAACTGGATTAGCAAGGATCCCCAATAAGTCAGTGGGACCTGCCCACGAGGAGAAAGATAAATCCTTTCTACTCGTGACAGACTCTCAGTGCCCTGGATCAATGCAGGCAGGTCATGGTGGCAGCAGTACCACGCTGCCAGCCCTGCTCTAGTGCTGAGCACCGTTTCGTCACAGCCTTTGTACCCAGTGAGGAGGTGTGGGCTTGCTACAGCCCAGGCTCTGGAGCCCTCCCTAAGCTGAGGATGTGCAAGCAGCCCTACCACCTACCAACGTTGGAAAGTCCACCTTTCTGTGGGATTTTCTCAATGGCACTTCTTAGGTCCTTGGAGTTGGCATAAGTTTTTAAATTAAATTCTGTGGAAGGGTCATCGCTAAAAGAAGAAATGAGAACAATTGTCAGGCTTTTGCTTCACATGCAACAATACCAAAGCTGTAGGACCAGTCTATGCTACCTGGCTCCTGAGTGCAAGCTGAAGTGAGACCTTTAGCAAGCGTCAGCTGCAGAGCTGCAGCTGCTGGAGTGTGCAGTCGTGCCCTGTGGCAATGGGAGTAGCTGCATGAGAAGCTCTTACCCATACTGAACAATGCCCATCAGAGGACCAGCACTGCCAATGCCAAGGGCTTGAGCCACATTACCAAGGAACCGCTTCTGGAGCTGAAAGCGGCGTTTACCGATACTCCAGCTCCCATCCATCAAGAAGGACAAATCAACCTTGCAATCTGAGGAGAGACACAGAAACACAGGAAATATTTTTGTTCCTTTCTAATAGAAGTGCTTTTTGTGAGGAGTGAAGACCTATAAAGTCTGCACCCAGTGACTTGTCCTGCTGTGCAAGCTCTACCAAAAAGCCTTTGACATAGACGAGTCACAGCTGTGGACTCAGGTCTGTCCTGCTCGTTGGTAAACATGGTCCTTTGCATGGTTTGCTCCTGTACAACATCCAAGCCCAGCTGGGTGACAAAATGGCGGGAGGCTGTCCCCAGGGGTCAGCCTGAGAGCACCGTGTTTGGGGGCTAGGGAGGAGAGGTCAGCCGCACAGGAGCTAGCTTGTATCCTGTGCCCTCAGAGCCACGGCTTGGGCTTGACCAGCTTTGTTCACAGCCCAGAGGTGGTGAGAGTTTGTAAAGCCAGATGTGACTGACGGATTTTGCTGTCTGGCCACTTGCAGAATGCAAGGTACAGAGATTTCCTTGGTTATGCTTTTTGTGGACTCGATTGGTATAATGTAACAGGAACAGTTCTTCACATACTGTGTTAATGCTGCTTGGAAGGGAGGGAAGATCCACTCAGTTCCCTAAACGTGTGATGCCTGTGATGTGCCTCGGGGCAAAGGACATCATGGAGTCTCTTCAAGGAGCTGCTAATGGTAGTCCTGGCAACATGGCGCTTCTGAATGAGAAGCGTTTGGCAGCTTCCTTCTGGGCTGGATCTAACGTGAGGGATAATGATTTTGTTTGGTGTGTTCAGACTGAGCAGGGGCTCTTTTCACATGTAGCCATAGGGCTTGTACCTGTGTGCACGCAGCAGCAGCGCACCATTGTGTGTTGTCTCTCTGGGCTGAAAGCAATATTCTAGAAAAAACTACGCCTGCACCCAAACAAACTCTTCTCTCTAATTACACGGATGAACCTGATCTTTGCGCTGTTGCGAATGCTGTCTTCATCACTGCCAGTCTGCTTTACGTCTTTGCAAGTTAGTGGTGAAACATTCATCGGTTGGACTGCAACCAGGAGCGTGATCAAAATTTGGCTTAACTAGAGCGCTAATTAACATTTTCCCCCTCTGGCGTCCCGGTCATCCCCATCTCTTGATTTCCCTCCGATGATGCCTCCTACCAATCAGACTGTCCAAAATAGTGCGTTTTAATCATTAGGTAGCCGGAAGGCTACAAAGCGCCGATTGTTCTTACTGGCTTATGCAACTGCCTCCCATCTCATTACCTTCAATTTTTTCTCCCGTAGCTGTCTGTTTTTCTAGTTTTAATAATGCTGAATTATAGAAGCGTGACTGAGAACCATGTTCATTCACAGTGTATCATGAGGCAAGGCCGGGAACCCACAACAAATAATACCTCAATTAACGGCCAAGTTTTCCTGAACTTCCTGTCCTTCAAAGGGAGCTACACCATGCGGGGCTATACGTGGAAAGTGGGGAGTTTGTTAGCCTGCAGGGTCTAGGCATGCAAAGATTTACATACACTTATAGTCAGACTGAATTTCTGGGGAGGATTCAGACAGCAGGAGTATTTCAGTGCTGGGACATTAGTGGGACTCTGCAAAAGCACAGGCTAAAGATGCTGTGGAGGGAGCTGAGCACTTTGTGATTTGCAGGGAGGCAAGATCTGAATTACGCCTTTTATGGTCCTAGAGGGATGAGAGTTTTGATTCTGGTGTGCCTTATCTCAGTTCAACTGCTGGGAACAGCTGCACTTGCCTGTGTCTCTGCTACACTGAGCTAGCTCTGCTTTCCTGCAGTGAGATTGGGTCTGTAGGACAGATCCTTCCTCTTTCTTCTTTCCCTTATTTCTGTATTGGTTTTAGGTGTATTTGACATCTTAGGAGAAAAAAATACTTTTAAGCCTTAGGAGGAACACCTGCGAACATACAGACATTTGGTTCAGTAGTTAATGTAAAGAGTCCTTGAACTGCCTATTCTGTGAGAGACGGCATTCAGCTGCTGGAGGATGGGCAAGAGAGGACTCGGGTGCTGGTGGGAGGGTGAAGCCCCCTCTCCAGGGCGGCCTCCCATGAGGAGGCGGCAGATGACCCCATCTCTCCACTCAGAGCTTGCTTGCTCTTTCTCCTTCTGGGCCCTATCTAAAGATGAGTTAATGGGCAAATCTGCCTTCATTATAAAGTGCTGTAGAAGATTTCCTTTTCAGAGCAGGGGACCGTAAATCTCCATACCCGGACTGGGAGATCCTTGATGCATCCCTCTGCATCCCCTTTTTTCCTTACTGCAGCAAGTGCCAGGTCCCTTTCTCAGGTGGTTTCCTTCCTTCCCACCCACTACTGCGGGAAGGGTGCCTGCGCCCAGCACAGCCGCGGGAGCCTGCTCTGGTAAGCAGGGCTCGCTCATCTAATCCCATCCACAACACGTTGGTTTGCCGTCCTCCACCATCGAAGTCCTCGAGCAAAGCTCTGCGCCCCAGGAATGTGGAACTGATGCTGCCTGGGAAGAGGCAGTGGTGAGCAGCCACCATCTCCCTGCCCAGGTAAGCTAAGTCTTGGCTGTTATTTCCTTCCTCGTAGAAGCAAAAAACCAACTATGTGTATGAGAGGGGTTGGCAAAGAGCACTTGCTGTTCCTCTGCAAAGGAAAAATGTGTTCCTCGAGTTTCTTAGGCATTCTTGAAAACTTATCTTTTGCTATTTAGTTTGAATACATTCTAGCAGTATGTAATTAATGAAATGGCATTGCTTATTTATGAAATTAATTCTGATATACGTACTTGGGTTCCCCTGCGAGATGGACTCCAGTGGCTTTGGATTCAATTCTTCCTTTGAACTGAAGCCTAGAGAGAGGAAGGAAAAAGCTTAGTCAGTGTGTGCTCGGTGGCTGCCCTTGCCCTGGAAGGAAGCAGGCAATGAGGCAGCTGCTGTGCTCCCCTCAGCCTGAGGATTGATATGGGAGAGAAAAGAGGATGGGGAGCACATCCTTGGAGCTTACCTTTTTCCACCTACATTGCTTCTAGGATAGAATAAGACAGGAGGCATTTCTAGAAGTGCCACTAAAATCTCTCCAAGCACCAACTTTGACTCCCCTTTGTGAGTCAGTCCCCTCATTGCAAGAACTTGAGAGCAGTGTGCACAAGTAGAGGGTTCCATGGTGGCCATGGTGCGGGATGGTGACCTCTCAGCACTTTGCCCCTGAGAGAACCAGTGCTGCCACCCCACTGGCTCGCTGTGCTTCAGCCGTGCTTTACAACGAGCTGTGCAACATCTGAAGCAAAGGAGCGACAATTATAGCAGGTTGCTTTTCTGTCTGGAGAGGAAGGCACGGTCAGCAACTCACCCCATTGTGTTACAACTGGGGAAGCAATGCAAGCCATGGCTCCTCAGGTGTTCCTAGGGGACTGGGTTATTTTGGAAAGCACAAAAGAAACAGGGTAAATGGTGGCAGAGAGCTACAGTTAAGTCATGGGAAACAGTCTCACAGGTCACTAATGGATTTTAGCTGAGGCCTCAAGTAGGATATTTGCATGGTAGCAGCCTTGGGAACAGGAGTTTAACGTCCTTGCAAGATGCACTGACTCACAGGCCATCATCAGTCTGATGTCAGAAGGTTTGAAAATGCTGAACTTCACTCACGACTTGAATGCGTGGTGAGAGTCTCCTACAGTACAGCATCTCCCTTTCGAGCAAGGGCAGAAAGCTGTTTCTTTTCACTACAGCATGACAAGATTAAGGCAATAATCCTCCAGAGAGATAGCAATGATTAAAAAAGCCCAAAACAAAACTCTCATCAAGGAAGCAGTTGGTCAAAGGAACAGCAGAACGGCTTATTATTTTTGTAAACTGCATATTATTTTTTATAAAATAAGGAGGAAGGCTTCCTTAAATATTCAACAAATAAATTGAGGATCAAGAATACAGACTTCTGAGAGAGACAGTAAAAAGGTAACATTAGAAAGCGTGAGCTTAATACAGTAAAAAGTTGAGAAATGACTAGGTGCTGCAGAGTTTGTCTCTCCACAGCAGCCAGCCACCAGCATGCCAAGCATGACAGCATCAGTGTATGTAAAGAGAGTGGGTGGCACAGGGGCATCAGGGAAGGTCATCTGTGAAATATGACAGGTACTGTAACAGCTCTGAGCACATGTACTGCCTCAGTTCTTTTCTGAAGATATTAATGACCAAGCCATAACAATGCAGAAAACAGCCAAGAAAATGGGGGGAAATACCAGCTTCAACTCCCTCCATCACCACTCCTATTGCCATTCCAGCTGCATCGAATGATCCACCCCTCAGAAGAGGTAAATACAACTGCTTTGAGTCCTTCCACCTGCATGGTGAAAGCTGCGTGTGATTTTGGGTCAGGGGCCAAGTTTGTATGAAGTCTGAGTGTGCAGTGCCGAACATAAAGCTGACCTGATCTGCTGCTGTCTGATGCCCATGGGGAGGCTATAGCCCACCGCAACATCCTTGTGGGACAGAAAGGTTGCTTTGGCTTCTCATTTTTAAATTCAGCTGCCAGTGAAGAAAGTTTCTACTGCAGGGACAGAACAGAGCTGCAAACAGCAGCACCATATGATTGCCCTTCTGCTTTGCTCGTCCCTGGGCATTCCACTGTTGCCTGTCACTAGAGAGAGGACACTAAGCTCCCTGGAGCACTGGGCTTGTCTTGTATGGGAGCTCACATGGTCATGTGTGAATGAAATACGTAAAGGGCACAAAGATCAACCTTACTTTGTTTGTAGCAAGAGCTAGTGATTTCTCTGTGTGTTTTCTTTCCGAATGTCCCTGGCTGTGACCAGCCAGGTGAGGATAGCCCCAGGGCCCTGCCGCTCCCCTGCCGTGCCTGCAGCCCCGCACAGCCTCCTGGTGCTCCTACCCGAGCTTTGGAGCAGGCGCTTTCTGGACAGGGCGTAGAATCTCTCCACCTGTCCCAATTCTGGCCCTTCTGCCAGAAATGCCTCACCCCCACGGTTAGCAGAGATGATCCTCTCCCAACAGAGCAGGCTGGCCCCATCGGAAAGCGGGTTGGCGAGCCAGGCTCCAGCTGGCTTTGTCCCTCCCAGCTGGAGCTGTTGTCCAGCACGTTGCTGGCTTGTGCCTCTTGTCTCGCACCTCCTCTGCACACCTGGGATGGGCTCCCCGACAGGAGCAGGGGAGAGGGCTCTGGCAGAGCGCGCCTGCCCGCGGGAAGCCCATTTGGATGGGGAAAGCTGAGTGGGGGCAGGCGGAGCGGTGGTGCCGGAGCAGTGCTGCCTGAGGCTGGGCACTGTCTCCTGTCTGAAGAAAAGTGACATTTTTGGAACAGGGGTGACACAAAAGAGCTCTGTCTGGTGACATCTGTGGCAGCAAACGTTTCTGACCCGTCTCAGGCTGGACAGTCGTGCTGCTGGGGACCGAATCTGCCTTTGGCCCGAGGAAGGGCACGAGGCGAATCTCACACAGGTGCAGCCATGACTCCTGGGACATGAACCCTCTGCCTGGTGAGGTGCTGTTGGCCGTGGGTGGCTGAGGAGTGTTTTCACTGAAAATACTTGATGGGAGCGAAGCTCCCCCCGGCTGCAGGCATGGCGAGGCAGGAGCGTGACCTGGAGAGGCACTGGTGGCAGGAGGTGCAGCAGCAGCGGCACAGGGAGGGGGAATGGGACAGGGTTAGAGGAGGAGTGTGAATTTTGGGCTTAGGCTGGTGTGTGTCTGTGGCAGCTCCTTGGATAAGTGCTAAGGGGGGCAGTTCAGCAGCCAGGCAAAGTAAAGCAAAGTGGTGGGAGCTGCAGGAGGGTACTCTGAACGAAGAGGCCACAGGGCCAAGTGTTTCTGCAGGCTGAGGCTGGGCTGAGCGCAGGTGACCGGCAACCCTGCAGCTCCACCAGCAGCCATGGCCTCTCAAACCCAGGAGAAGACAAGCTCGCCCATATGATTTGGCAATGCCCCCTCTCTGCCCGTGCTTTTCCTGCATGTGAATGCCTGTAGACACAGCCCCATGGACACTTTCAGGTAGTGCAAACCAGCCCCACCATCCAAAGGCAGAGCCTTCCTCTCACCAGGCACCATCCCCCCTGCTTCTGCCCTGCCACCAGCCCCTGTGCCTGCCCAGTGTTGATGGGACACAAGAAGAAGGGGGAAAGTGTAGAGTTAAAACCAGGAGGAAAGAAAAGGTTAATGATGGGCTGGACCTATTCCCTGATGCAAGTCGCCCTCTGGCCACGAAGGTGCCCACCTGGGCAGAGGGTGGCTGGATGGCTCTTTTGGCTGGCAGTGCTGGCTTATGGCAGTTTTATCTGAATCAGAAGTTATGGTCGACATGAGAGAGAGAGACAAAGGAAGCAATGACTTAGACCCGTACATAGTCTCTTTGTCAACAACATGGATGAGGGTGATTTTTTTTTTTTAATTTTTCTTTAAAACCTGAAATAGTCGACAGCTTGCCTTCCTAACCATGCATGTTTCAGTACAGGCTTTAATTACATGGGCACATAATGGTTCCTCAGTAATAGACCAAAGCCACGCTTCATCCTACAGTCTGCATACCTCACATGTGCCAGCTTGGTATCCCATATGTGCAGTTCCCCCCACTTGCCTTATTTGCGGAACAGAAAGTAGGTGGATTTAACACCGTATTGAAATTAGATATTAACATGTAAAATTTATTTTAGCAACTAAATTGTATAGAGAAGCTAATTCATAGTTATCTGCCTCATGCATTGATCTGCATCCTATAAAATCCATATTCCTTACCCAAGCATACAGCTGACATTAGCTTTGTTGATATGGAAAACCCAAGCGTAGGCAATACAGCAGTTTTCATTTTTATTTGCCAGTGCAATTACCAGTTCTTGAAGGTTGTAGGTCAGCTGGCTGATTTGTGCTTAGTGTAACAATAAGGTCACCCACCAAATAATCTTCCCCAACTAATTGGGAAGGTGGTCAGTCTCTATGGGCTTTCCTGTTCTGCCAGTCCAATTTAATGTTGTTATTGCCATGGGAATTTCAACTTGCTGCATGGGCAGTCTACTCCATGCTAATTAAAGTTCCCTTCACTGATTGTCACAGCTGTCCATGCTGATTAAACTTTCCATTCATTTAAGTAAGACAGCAGTAACTACATGCATGCCAGAAACCATTCCTTTGAAGTGACAATCTGAATTCATCAGACTTTATCACACTAGTCTACACAGGCACTTCAGTTGCTGAGAAATTGTTAATACAACATCCCTTCCCCCATGGTATTTGATGCAATCTGTCATTTTCTGCCTCAAAATACCCTTCTGCACCCCTGGCCCTAGTGCTGTAGCTTTTTCTAAATAAGCACACTGGAGGCTTAAGCTACAGTAGATAGAAACGCTTCCTCTCTCTGGCTCAGATGGCTGCTGCTGCTGGAGAAGGCAGATCTGTTCATGCTTGGGACAAGGCAAAATTTGATGGTGGCTGCTGACACTGAATTTGCAAGCTACTGCATATGGGCTATGCTGCTCATCACAGCCAGTGCAAGGATTAGTCATGCCTCAGCTTTGAAGTAAACTGAGTGTTCAAGGAAATGGTCTTTACGATAGCCACCATCACAGGGCTCTGCAGCAACAAAACCAGTGATGGAAAAGACATCTTATACTGGATGGCCCAGCCCCTTGTAAGAGTACCCTGTCATGAATTGGCCTTTAGTTTGTGTTATCTGCTTTAAATGTTCCTGAGGAAAGGGATTCCTTAAATATTGAACACATACAATCTGCAGTTGATAACTGCTCCTGATTTTGTGCAAGTCTTGGTCTTGTTGCTACTTGATCCTGCTACAAATGTAGGGTTTTTTCTTTTCCTTTCACTCACCAGGTAATGATAAAAAGTGTTGTCATCTCCATATTGTCAGTTTTTAAGGCTAAAATGTTGGAAAATTTCAGTGATGCTTATTATTCTTTATGTTCAGCTTAAACCTTTCATTTCTTCTCTGATTGTCTTTCCTAAGTACATTGACATCAGAATAATCTTCACTGATTGCAGCTCTAGACAGCGATCCCAACTGTGGCATTCCCAAAATACCTTCTTATTTACAAATGGATTGCAGTAGCTAGAACCCCTTTCCTGCAAGGTAGCTGCCAACTCTTTGAAAGCTCATCTGTTCTGCTCCTACTTTAGGCAGGAAGTCGAGACTGATGCAAGCACAGAATAATTTTAACTACTAAGATGTAAACTACATACCTCATTTATAATTTTAAATACTGTAATTACTCCTTAAAATGAGATTGTTATCAGCAGTGTCATGGGCCTGATGAATAGAGTTAGCTTCCCTCATGTGATGGAAACCAATTATTCCCAGACTAGTTACTGGATACTTAAATATTTACCTGTGTTAAAAAGGCTCAGTCCAGGTTTCCACGAGTCTGTTTCCATTGCTTTCACACATGAAAGAGAAGAAAAATTATTACTGAAAATAATGGAATTACTAGAGATTACAAAGCTCTGACTCAATTTAGAAAGGTCAATTCGAGCAGTCAATTATCATTAACAACTAGGACCTAAGGAAATCGGTAAACCTGGAAACCTTTATGCGCACAGTTCAAGCCATATTTAGAAGCTTCATATCACTGCCTCCAGCGTGCTCATCTTTTTTATGATTTTAAAAACACCTCTTTAGATCTGTTTTGGTCTTGCTCCTCTAAATTGCATTAATACTGAGGCAAGTATACTGACTTCAGTATACTTTGGCTTGGCTTGGACTTTTTTTTTTTTTCTCCACTGCCAATTTGCAAGTACCTCTCATCTGTGGATTCTTCTGTCTCCTCAACCCATCCAAACACAAAGAAATTATCTATGTTTTGCTTGCAGCCTATCAGGCATGGAACACTTTATCAAAATTGCTGCTTTCATAAATAAACCCCAAAGTGTCTGTGTTTTTGGAGCCTACTGAAGAGGTTTCTTAAAAAACGATGTTTTGCTCTGGGTTACAGCCAGATGAAAGCCCTTGCAGCTGACTAGTACAAGAACAGTACCGAGGAGTACTGGTGGGATCCTTTGCCCCTGACAGTCTGTCTCCAGGTTTGTTCAGAGCAGTTTTCAAAGACATGTATCTCAGACCTACTGTATCCATACTGCCTCTCGCACCTGAGTTTCCTTATCTAGACTGGCAGCTGGTTTGCTCTTGACTAGAGCCAGTGAGTGAACCACGATGCAGGTTTGGAAAAACTCATGGGCTTGCCAGTGTCCTCCAGTGTAGTGAGAGCACTGACCTTGCCCTTAGGTTGCCATCCCAGCAAGGAGCTATCAGTTTGTCTTTGGGAAATAGACTTGTTGCATGAGACAGATGGCTGAATAAGATGTGTGGTCTCCCTTGGGGTAGGAGGAACCTTGTCATGTTTCATTCCTAAGGTGATGTTTCCAGATCCTTTTTCCTCCTTATGTTGAGCACTGCTTAGATCCTCTGTGAAGAATCCAAAAACTGAGGAAACCAAAGGTCTGAGAAATCAATCCTGATACATACAGAAGTTTTGCTGTGATTTTGCTTAGAAGGAGAAGCAGGATGAAGGAAGGGCAGGCCTGGGTAATGGGGAAGGAAATAACAGGAAAGATAGAAGGAATATTCCTAGCTTATTATCCACCTGGGCAGGGTCATTTGCCAGAATTTTGTACATCCCTCAGCAGAGTCATGAGGAAACAGCGGTGACTGAAGCCGGGGTGCTGGTTGCAGAGCAGGAGAACCCTGTCCATAGAGAAGAGCCAGTACTCATTTGTTATCAGTGGCCGTGTCTCCTGAACGCTGTCACTGAGAAGAACAACAGATTTCAGTGAAACCAGCTTGTGAGTAGATAATCTCAAAAGGTGTGCGTCACCCTCCTGGGACAGACAAGTGTAAAGTGACTCCAAAAATAAAAAATTTGTGTGAAGCTACTTTTGAGCCTGACCAGCTGAAAGAAACAGCCAAGTAGCAAATAATGAAGAAGACCCTGCACTTCTTAAAGGCCAAGTGCAGGGTCCTGCACATGGGTCAGGGCAATCCCAAGCACAAGTACAGACTGGGCGAAGAATGGATTGAGAGCAGCCCTGAGGAAAAGGACTTGGGAGTGCTGGTGTGTGAGAAGCTCAACACGAGCCGGCAATGTGTGCCTGCAGCTCAAAGTCAACTGTATCCTGGGCTGCATCCAAAGCAGCGTGGGCAGCAGGTCAAGGAAGGACATTCTGTCCCTCTCCTCTGCTGTCGTGAGACCCCACCTGGAATACTGCATTCAGCTCTGGAGTCCTCAACACAAGAAGGACATGGACAGGTTGGAGCGAGTCCAGAGGAGGGCCACAAAAACGATCTGAGGGCTGTAGCACCTCTGCTATGAAGACGGACTGAGAGAGTTGGAGCTGTTCAGTCTGGAGAAGAGAAGGCTCCGGGGAGATCTTATAGCAGTCTTCCAGTACCTGAAGGGGGCCTACAGGAAAGGTGGAGAGGGACTTTTTACAAGGGCATGTAGTGATAAGACAAGGGGCAATGGCTTTAAACTGAAAGAGGATAGATTTTGATTAGATCTAAGGAAGACATTTTTTACATTGAGGGTGGTGAGGCAGTGGAACAAGTTGCCCAGAAAAGTTGTGACTGCCCCATGGACACGAGCAAAGGAATGTGCCTGTCCCACATATCACAGGTCTGCGTCTGCAGCCAGTTCATCGCCAGGGATTACCGTCAATTACTGCAGCGCAGGCTCCTCTAACTTCTCTGACTGTTTAAGCTCAAAAAAGACAGGTAGATGCTATTTGGTAACTTCAGGGAAAGCGTGGTTTTTGTCAGCAGGAGCAATGCTGAAGTTTTTCTAGATTCACTCATCTCAAGAACTACTTCAACTCAGATGACCGCAGGTGCTCTAGTGTGTCCAAATCCCGATGGGTGAAAGCTGTCTATTGCTTCTTCGAGCAGTCTCATCCTGGCTCACATCCTTTTAAAATTTTTTGTGGTAAGAAAGTCCCTGTTTTTTCCTTCTTAAGGAAGAACAGCACTAGATAAGTACCAAGGGTTTAGGGTAGCTGGCTGCAAATATGCAGAATATACAGCTTTCTGAGTGACTGCTAAATCTGGGCAAAAGCTCTATTTCTTGCATATAGTCCTAGACACATAACAAAGAAAGCTCTCAATGAAATGTGTATCTGAAAGGGAAATTATTATTTTTATGTGTTCTTATGAGTAGCCAGGGTTTTGTGG